GCTCTTCCTAGAGGTGCCTCCTCTCGCCCTCCCATTCTATGCACAGTAAGGATGGTTTCACACAGGGAGAGTTACTTTGCATTTTGCTATACCATCATTACTTAATGTTTGGCAGATAAATTATTTACTGCACACTCTTTGGATAAAGCTCTGAAAAGAGAGTTATTAATTTTGTCCCTATAGCTCACTTCACCATATGAGATAGGTCTGGCATATCCATCAGACACCTTTATTCAAGAATTCTTCCATAGTAGTAACCAATCCTTTAGGGTACATTAGACAAATGATATACTATGCATATTACACACTTTTCTATCTATAGCATACTAATTGCATTCTACATGGTACATAGAAATGATCTTGCCAGGAGACTTTGCATAAGCACTGGAAAATACAGCAACAAAGACAAATCATTGCAGGACACTGCTGTGAATGTGTGCGCTGTGTCAGGTAGTTTCTTTTTTTAGTCATTCAGGTGGTACAAAATCATGAGCCTTGGAAAGGAAAAAAAAAATGGAACTTCAGCAGATATTAGGTGTTGTGGTCTAATTTGTGAGGCACCCAAATTAGAAAGGAGTTAAAGCCTAAGATGACAAAGTTCATTGCCTAATTAAGGTTTGTTTTGTGAATTACCTGAAAAACAGTTTTTGAATCAAATAAAGAAATGATCTGAGAGCATGGACAAGAACACAAGCTTGTCTTGCTTAAAACAAGTGCTCTAACAATCAAGTTGCAGAACCTGCATTTGGGAGCTCTCTTTCTATCTCACCAAGCTTAGTTTTGTTTTGCATTTTGACTTGCAGTGGTACAGTTTCAGAGAGAAGAGCTAAGCATTCCCATTCAACTTACTGTCTCCACCTCCCCTCATCTCCCCTTCCCACCCCTGCAATGGTTTTGTGGTTAGAGCAGGGGGTAAAAATATAGGTCTAGTTCACTACAGTCAATCGTCACAGGTAGAGGCACGAACTGACCTTGCAGCATGGGAAAATTCCCTGTTATCTTATTATACATAAAAGCACCACAGCTATATTTTAAGAGATGTGAGGTCTCTGTTCAGATCTTTAAAAAAAAGAGTTTAAAAGGTGCCTACCTTCCCAGCTGAGTTAAGGAAACTGAGATTTCCCGCGTGTGTATTTCCTGGAACTGTGCACTTCTGCACTGTGGATGAATGTGCACACTGCATTCATTATGTTCAGAATGAGTCAAAACCTCTATATATGCACCAAACAGTTAAGTGATGCAAGTATGCCGAGTCCAGTACATCCCGTGCACACCAGCTCTGTGCGTACACTCATAGACCATAAGCACGGAGATAATAAGCCATGAGGGAGTTGAAGTTATCTGCCAGAACACTTGAAATGACTGCTTTAATGGGATATCCATTTACCAAGAATCACTCATTTTTTCTTCTCCCTCTAGCTCTAGAAAAAAGTTCTGAACAGAAAAAAAGGACATAGCCAAAGTAAAATAAAGAAGTTCAGTCAAAGTCCCAGATTCTACTCTGAACATCAAACTCCTAAAAGTTGTAGCGTTTAATGGCAGGGTGTCCAAGTCCTTTACCAGATCTGGTTCCACAATACTTATCCTTAAATTCTAATAGATAGGTTTCAAACACCTGAGAAGCAGAACAACTCTCCCAGCTATTAAAAAGTTCCTTGCTCTTTGTAAGGACTATTAACTAAAGACTATCACTATTCAAAATACACCGTATTGATTTTCATACTTTTCGCCAAGGACATACTAACATAACAGTTATCACTACTATTTTCCTCTAAGTATGAAAAACTAAACCAAAACTGAAAATCTGGATGATAGTTTCACAGAAGGCCAGAAACTCATTTTTCAGCAAAATAAAAAAGTCAGTTGATACCTCTTATGCTCTGATTAGCGGATATAAAGTCAAAAGGAAAGAAGAGTGTCCAATACACTAGCATGCAAACAGTAGCAGAGACTAACAGACAAACTGCAATTAAAATGAGATATTCATCTAAAATGACTGAGATCATAGTCACGGGATCCTAACCCAACAGCCACAGGGGGATTCTTGCATTTGTATGACATAACATTACATTAGAGAAATGTTTGAGATTTCTTAGCGTCCCTGCTTAACACAAAAAGTTAGAGAATGCTTGGAATACAATGGAAAATCTGATATGAATAGATGTGATGGATTTGCCTGCATTTCCTAGCTCAGTTAGTAGGATTGCCAGGCTATACGTTCCATTGTATTTTAGTGTTTTTTCCAACATTACCTGACACATGTAGCATATTGAACACCTAGGCTTTTGTTACTTTTTGTTAAAAAAAGAAAAAAAGTATGTGACAGCAAAATATTCCCTTGCAAGTTTTCCGAGATTAGTTTTTTTTTTTTTTTAATTGATTAGCATCAACTGGTGTCAGCACTAGCTAGCATTCCATAACTCTTCAAAATGTCATGTAATTTATTGCACTAATAGAGTTCAGGCATTCTCCATTATCTTTCACTCTCCATATGCAGTTAAAGGATATTACTTACAGGAATTTGGCTTGATAAAGCATTTCATGAGAGGAAGCCAAGGTCTCCTTATCCTTCCTAACCATTAGGCTACCTTTCACAGAACTACAGTTTGTTATTCTGGCTCTGGTGGGAAGGCTGCTAATCTCCTGTCCCCCCGAGAGTGAGCTGGTAGAGGAAAAAGCCATTCAGATTGCCTTCTTGCTGCAAGAAAGTTATGAACTTTTCATTTTGCCATTCGCTAAGATAAAAAGCTGTGAGTAGCTATTCAGTACTTATCCAAAAATGGTTATAATGATGTTTAACTCCCCCTTGCATAATGATGTCACTATGGTAACTAACCTTTCTGATCTGGTGAAGCCAAAATTGCTTTCAGATTTCAAAATATCTCAATGATTTTTGTTTCACTGTTGCTCTTCACCTTTGCAAGGTGGGCAAGCTGATTGAATATTTAGGCTAGAATATAATGTGGAAACACTATGTGTAGATACTATGTGGCATGTATCTTCCAAAAACACAAACCGTAAATTTGAGGCAGAAAGTTCTCAGTAGAAGAATCTGACAGGAGTCTCTCTTTTGGTAAGGTAGTTAGGACATTCAGTAGAGAAGAGCACTTGCCAAAGCCCAAAAAAAGTGAGCACGTCTCACATATCAGCTTTGAAAGTAAGAGTGGTCAGGCTAGAAGTGCTGAAGGAAAAAAAACAGGAAACAGCCAAAAAAATCCAGAAAGCAAGAGAAAAATGCAAGCTTAATGAATAGCTCCTTAACTGTGCTGAAAGGTGTTTTAATTGCTCAGAAGTGGAGGATATTTGATTCTCAGGTTTTGGAAGCAGACTTGCAATAGTAAAACCAAAGGAACACTTTGAACCGTCAAGTGCTTTTGCAACATACTACATACAACTTTTATAATGGACAGTTAGAAGAGGCCTAAATTTCCCATACCGTTTTAGCCTAAAGGCAAAGGGTGTTCTGTTGTTGCTTTTAACGTCACACTATATCATGTGCAAGTTATAGGTACACATCAACATCTTGCATTGTATAATCCCACCATACTTCACTGAAATGTTAAGCTTTCAGCACTCTCGCCCACAATATGATAATTAGAGCCATTCAAGCACTAAAATTGGCACATTTCTTCTCCACAGAATATCATGGGTTATTCAGACATTTCGCACCCCACCCCCTTCTACCATTTTCTAAGTAGCACTAAGATAAATATAAAAGTGAAGATAGCAAGTAGCGTGTGCCAGATAAGACTGAAAAGTAGACCTTTATCCTCATTGCTGCTCTTTACCTGTAACACCAAACTCCAGACACTTATTCTCTCTCCTCCCTCCTTTCTGTTTTCCCTCACATGTGATAATGTTAGATATTCCTCTTTTATCTTTCCAAACATATTTCAAGCTCTTTTGAAGATTGTGTATATACAGTTTTTAGAAATTCTTTTAAATTTTTTATAGTTTTAAAGGTTTTTTAAAGTATAAAAAAGGCTTTTAAAATTTAATATTCACAGGGCCCATACTCTCACATCTATCTTCAAGAACACTGCGAAAACCATGCTGAGCACCCTTGTTCTTTGTGTTAATTGCCTGGAATCTAAGGGCTCCCTGCACAAGCAGTCATACAAATTTAGTAAGGAACACCTTGAATTTTTTCCTGCTAGGAGCTATGCCTCCACTATCAACCATAACTCCGGTTTTAGGGAGTATCAATAACTTGATGTGTTGTTTCTATTTTTATAACAGCAATTACAAGGTTTCACAGGATATTTTCTTCCTCTATCTAAAAAAATACATAGCTTTTATAAAGGTGTTAATGGATGGGTGTAATTGAGAAAATTCCAGGAAATACTACAAGCTTAGAGACATTTTATGTAGAATAGTTGTAATAAACCTGCTCTGTTAGTTAAGTCATCTGTTTGAGATTGAGTTATATGTTTAAGTGATTTTTGTTACACAAACCCATATACTCAGACTCATGTCCCAACGAAAGTGATGATTTTTAAGAGAAGAATACCTATGGTGGCTTTTTAGTTTAATACGCAAGACAAATGGGGACTAGAGAATAGTAAATTAAAAATTATATTTATACGTACAATTTTTTCTTTCAAAACTCATGCACATTTATCAATTAAAAACTTGTCATAGATGCTTCAGATATATATATGACGTGCAGCTGATAAGACCAATATATTGCAGCCTAGGATTCAAAATAGCACAATGATGTTATTCGTCTGCTTCATGGACAGATGTAAATGAAAATTGCAATGAGCACATTACAGGTGAATTTTTCAGCAATTATGTCTTCTGATACATGCTTCCAGTGTATTGAATTAGATGCAGTGGGTCAAATTCGAATGGAGTGTAATTCAGTAGAGTTATATAGTTGTATATTGGGATGAACTGAGCCAGTAGTGACTTTCACGAGTAGTTTGCTATGTCTTGACATTTCACTATTCAGTAAGAAGGAGATGTTACTATGAAAATTAACCAAAAAGTATATATATATATAAAAAGCAAACTTCCTGAAGAAATTAAAAGTCATAAGCCATTATAACAGGAAATCCTTGAGTAAATCCTAGAATAAAGTGACCTGAATAGAGACTCTGAAGTACTTGCACACAAGGAGAAAGTCATCATGACTTTTAAACAAATAAATTCTGCTGATAAATAAATTTGAGTATTCAGAATCAGTACAGCATGAAGTGCTTGAAAATTCCTTTCTACCTGTAAAGAGAATATCATCTTTCAACAATGAACATAAATAAATAAGGAAGTCACCAGGGGTGCCATAGTGTTTCACCATTCGAAATCATTATTGTCAGTGAATGGTTCTTCCTCCCACTGCACTTTAAGTCATCTGCAGAGTCAATAGCATCCCATGAAATATTAATAACAACATCAGATTAACCATAGATTATCATCCTATATTTCCATCAGCAGGGGGTGCCCACTGGCCTTTTCCTAGCATCTTCCTCCTACCCTAATCCTTGCAGTGACTTTGAAATGCAGCACGCCAGCAGGTTTCCAGTCCTGGTAGTCGGTAGCTAGAGGAGAACCATATGCTCGTATTCTCGGTAGTAGACTGCCCATGCCAAGTTAACATACAATAAACTGGGTAAATCACTGCTTTGCCTCAATCCAGCAATTTCTATGATACTTGTTTCATTTTCTACTACTTAAAAGGAAGACAAAGAAATACACATATCCCACACTTCTGTGAGAAATTCCTCCATATTAAACTAGCAAATTTATTGAGTCTTGATGCTGAAACCATATGGGAACACTATGTAACAGTCATTTCTTATTTCTTTAGCATTTGTCTGAAGTGTTTTATACCATAATGATTGCTTTTACTTCGCTCTTCTGAATTGCTGTCTTTCTTTGTAATCTGAGCCCTGATTCTTTCACCTCTGTACACCGAGATTCACAACATATCCGTTGCTTCATTATCTACAAGCCATATTGACATCAGCAATAAGGAAAGTGCAGGTGATAGGATTTTGCTTGTCAAACTTGGCAGCATCAGCATTGCAAGCATGAGCTCCATTGAAGAAAAGAGCTGTTTTCTTTTGTACTGTGAAGCCAACAGCATTTGTCACTAGAGTAACAGAGGTAGAAGCTGCTGCTTTGTTGCTGAACATTCAAAGGTATCTATCTTTCCCTCAAGAGCTGTAGTATCTCCCACTAAAAATCCATGAAGCTTAAGGAAAGCATAAGGATTTCATTCCAAGACATGTCCCCACTCCTTAGCTGCCCCACAGAAGAGATGGTTTCCTTTGATTGTGTAAGAAATCAACACTTCTTACAACTTTTAATAAAGCCCTTTAGTAAACCTTGATCAAATGATGAAATTACAGATAAGAGTGTGACTGTGTGTGTCAAAACAATATGCTAACGTAACCTTTATTTTAAAAACAGGAAGCAGGTACTTACAGTAATAGTTATTGTTTTTTTTATTGAAATATCTCTGTGAAACAATATCAAGATGATCAGCATGTATAGCAAATATTGAAAAAAAGTGTTCTTTGATTACAAAAAAGGTATGGAGCAAAAGTAAGTTTGCTGGAACCTTTGAACAATTTTCTTGCCCTATTTAAATTCGGAACATTCTCCAGAAAGGAATTCTTGTGAAGAAAGTTACTTAGACTAGACTGCACAAGGTACTACAAGGACCTATTTAGCACTGAAAATGAAAAGTAATTAGTGACATAATAGGCATTTCCCTTCATTTATATTAGAATTCTGTATTTTACCTATTTCCCACATTATTAAGCTACCCCTTATAGGTTTAATGATCAAAATCAGTGATGACTTTTTTATTAATTTAGAAAGTTTTCTTAATGCTGGTTTAATTCTGTTTACTATATCTGTAGCCCAACTCCTGCACTTATTTATATTTTCTTATGGCCATGTGTCATAAGAATTGAATATATTTCAAACTATTTCCATCTTATGTCTACCTAAACAGAGGTAGAATACAATAAGGGAGCAGACAATAGTTTTATATGGAGGGGTGGAGGAGGGGAGACAAAAGAGTGCAAAAGGATAAAGAAAAACAAATGAAAATGAATTCTGAAGCTATAATGAAAGAAAATAAAAAGAATTCCAGTCAATGATTTGTAGAAAAGTGTGAAACACACGAAATACTTATGTCAAGCGTATGATTTTCTTCATGCATATATGCCTTAAAGATAATATTTGTATACTTTGAGAATCATGCAGAAAATGCTTCTGATATATTTTCAAACTCCATGCAAATACTGTGCAAGCCTGGCGGAAATTGTTAGTGAGGCTTCAGAGGACTTTAAAACCAACCATTGTTGGTATAAAAAATTTAAAGCTTGTTCAAGACTTATTTATTTTAAGATTAAAAAAAGAAGAAGGCTGTATGCTATCAGGTTTTTCTTTTCCTAAAAAGGTAAGCTAAATTTTGTTCCAGGAATAATTAGGGACTTGGTCAGTTCACAAAATTCGCAGTCTGTTGATTAGACTGTGAGATCAATACAATTTTGTTTCATTTTGCATAAACAACAGAGAAGGATTACCAGATACCAGATGGAAGTGAAGTAGTGGAAATTAATGCGTATTTTTTGGAAGTTGAAGGGAGGCTTTTGGAAATAAGTGTTATAAACAAATAAAGATTTAAAGGAAGGAAAGAATCTAGGCAAAAGGAGGACTAGAATTTATGGTCAAAGAAACACAGAGAGTGCAAGAAGCATTGGGGGGGGCAGGGGAATATCACAAGGTGCAATGAACCAACCATTCAAATGATGAAGCTCATTTGCACATAAGCATCTTCCTACTTCTTCCTTTCCTCTGCTTCAGCTTTAATTCTTCATTTTTAGAGAGAAGGAAGAATGTTGCCACACCAGAGAGGCTTGCCATGGCTTGCACAAACATGCAATGATCCAGTGAGCATTTGCAGATATAAGCTTACTGATTGTTTGGCAACAGCTAATTACCAAAAGTAATAGCTACTTTCTACCTCTGATTGCCTTTTCCCTCCTAATCTGAGTTAATGGGGTATGTGGGGATTAGGAGTGAGGAACAGAGTTTGATCTTCTAATCAGATCCAAATGTGGTTACAATTAGACAAGAATTCAAAGTTGACCCATAAACGGTGAGTAAATAACCTTATTACTTTAGGAAAGCAGACTTAAAATTCCTCAGAAAAGAAAACATGAAAACAGTTATCATACACAAAGAACTGAAATTGTACAGTGCAGTTGAAGTGACCTTTATCTAAACTGATAAGTACATAATCAACATCATTTAAATCAAGCTGGCATATGGATATTATAAACAAGTGAAATGTTAAAGAGTTTACTTATTATCAGTGTCATGTAAATCTTGGAGAAATCTAGACGCGGCTTCTTTAAGGTACCTGGAGGAGGAATAAAAAAAAAGAACAAAAACCATGAGAACGTGACAGAATATAAGCCAAATGACTTCAGGGGAGGCAGGGCATACGCAAGGCTGCATGGCAATTATATTTACAAATCTCTTTCTCTTAATCAAGACTTCTGCCACATGCCTGTAAAGTTGGATGCCCTTCAAACAGAGTATCATTATAAGGATTTATATGGTACTGCTCACCAATACGTTTCAGTTCCTTCCATTTGGCAGAGGTGGAAACAGGCTGCAGGATGTGAATCTACATGAAGCTGTTCAGCAGACCAGAAGATCTGAGGGCCTTTAACCCCAGTTCTCAGATATGCTATGTTACAGGCTACTTTGACCAAAAGACCTGACTTAGGCTCTTTTTTAAGAAGAGTAACAAAACGTATTACATCAAGACAAAAATTAAAGCAAAAATGCAAGGGAGAAAGGGCTAATAAAACATTAACTAGATGCCTAGGCTTTTCCAGGACAGGAACAGCTGGCTTCTTTCCGTGTGTTATTATTCCCTTTCAAGTTGAGGGAGCTATTTTACCTCCAGCTCTGTCTCCTCAGCTGGTTCTCTAGTAATAATAGGGGCAATTAGCCTCTCTCTCCCAAGCCAAAACCACTTGAAGCCTCCTGTCCCCCTTCTTCCCCACCCAGAAAAGCTACAGTCCCAAACAGAAACAAACTAAAAGAAAAGAAAGATAATATAAAAAGTTTTCATAATCCAGTCGTATTATACTCTCTCTTTGTACCACTATCACATTTGCTTCTCAGGCAGTAGACCATCTGTTACATATTTACTAGCCCATACTACCTACAAAGCCAATTTTGCAGGGGGAAGCTTGAACCTTTAGCTCCTCTTTGATGTCCTTTTAGGTACAGATGTCCAAGTGGACCTTGCACTGGCGCAAGAAAGAGAGGAGTCACTCTGTATTAGATGCCTTAAAGAAACAGAAAAATTACCTTATTTAGGCAAAACGCAATGGGAGAACTGAGAAAGCAAGTTTCTTTATGAGAAAAGAACTCATTTACACAATTCAGCAAGCAAACGCACAAGCTTTCCTCATAATCCTTTTTAAAGTAGGAAACTGCACCGCCCCTCAAATGTATCCATGGCATAAACTGAAATAATGCCACTGCTCATTAAAGCTACTCTGAAAAATGAATCTCTGGGAAAGGCTAGAATTAAAGGGTTTGTGTTTTGTTTTCACATTTCTTGAGTTATTGCTAAGCATTGCTCCTCAATAATTTCTCACGGAATACAGATTCCAAAGCATTTAATTCAGAGCTATCAAAATATATTGATTCAGCAGTGCCTGAATGTGATCATGACAGAATCTAAACAGAATTAATTACAAAAAAGCATTACTTTTTCCTGCAGTGATGGAAGCACCAGCAGAAAAGCCAGCACATATGCAACAGATAAAAGTTTTGATCACCTCAAAAGCCGAGTTACAGTATCTATTAATTGAACCTACATTGCATTGCACGAGTGATCTTGAGGTCAAGGTTTATGTTAAGTCCCATACTATTTACCTTCAGAAACACAAGAAAGGTAAGACTCCATGTGAATCAGTTTGTATGCACAAAAGAAAAACCTTCAGCATGCCCTGTGTTTTAACATGCGTTCAGCTACCTGCCATCTAGGCGGGCTTCCAGCATGCATTATCATGTACTCCCACCCATGTTTTGTGACACCTTCACATGATCGATATCAAGCAAAACAACAAGCAGTCCTTCCCAAAATGGCTCCCTAGTTTCATTTGCTTCAAGGGCAAGTGGGATTTCAAATTTTTGCGGGAGCAACCAATGGTTGGTGTTTTGTCCTGGGAGCACCATGCAAGTAGCCAGACCCAAGACAGTATAGGTATAGCTATTGTATAAGCATATGCTTGTTTATGTACAATGATAATATGTTTTTAAAAGCTACTCACTAAAATATGCTTAACCACAATTGTTTGTATAGTGATGCATTACTCGAAAAAGATCAAATAAAGGCAAAGCATATTGAGGAGAAATGTATACTACGTTATGATCATTTTTCCAAGTAATGTTACACAGTGTAAACAGAGCTCACAGCCTAACTCCCCTAGAGTTAATGGTTTTACTGTGAAAATAATCTGACATTTAATCACATTTTATAGGCTAGGTGTTCTCCTGAGGTACATTCCTATCTACATACACAGTGCAGGAATTATACAGCATTTCTGAAGGGAAAGGAGAAATGATGCCATGATTCGGCACAGCTGACAGACAAGCTTTCATAGAGATTTTTAAGAAAGGGAACCTTTCACCCTTAGCCTATGGGCAACCACAGTAACTGTTGCCGTTGACACTAGGAAAGATATTCAGCTTTCATTTTAGTTTTAGAAGTGAATCTTCAAGCACATTATTACGCTTCAAATCAATACTGCTCCACTAGTAATCCTTCACATGACTTGTACGGGAGTAAAATAAGAGGGCAGCTTTAACAAGACTGAGAAGAAATTCCAGTAGTGTTTATCAGTACCCTTTGAGCTGAATTCTTCTGTGGTTGCTTGCTGACGGTGAACTGTGCAGTCCTTCAGATCATTAGGCAAGGTGCGAAGGTGAACTGCTGCAGAGAGAGGAGCGACTGACGCTCACAGGCTGGTGCTCCCTATCTGGTGAGAGCCATGGACTGCCCAAGCCCGGGAGCAGTAGGGGAAACCGGAGTGCAGCAGAGGACCAGCAAGTATGACCACAAATTATATGTCAGTGGCCAAAAATTCAGAATAAGTGTCAATAGCGCACAAACTGATTTCTGTTTCAGAATGCATATGTGAAGAGGAGGTAGAAGACAAAACACTCAAAAAAGTCTCAGCATTAAATTAAAAAACATCTTGCCAGGACTATTTATTCCTATAAGTTACATGGATGATGAAAGAATAGGACTGTTTGGAAAACAAAAAATTCGTTCTGAAAGAAAACTCCTTTGTTTGTTTTTCTTGCAAAACAGAACTTTCAGGGTGGTTTTTTTGTTTGTTTGTTGGGGGGTGGTAAACAAGAAGAGGTAGGAGGAGAAAAGGAGAAAAAAAAAATCAAACCACCCCAGATAGCCTCAAATTCATTAGGGTTTTAATTTGAGTTTGCTGCTTCCCTAAATCCAGCAGAACTCGTTTCTTCCATCCCAGTGCATGCCTTACCACACATCCTACAAGATTACTACAAGGGAATGAGAGAATCTATCACCATACTTTCCTGACAATATCTTCATCAAAACTGACATTGCCACAGATGGTGATATTTCTGTTTATGATCATACTTAACTAGAAAGCTGATAATGCTAGAGTTAAAAGGCAAGTGTTTGGCATAGAGTCAAAAAGTTAACTCAAACAGAAGTTTTGGGGCATTTGAAATGTGCTAAAGTTAATTAAAAAAGAAGAGGAAAATGTGCCTAATATTACCATAAAACAAGGAATTTGGTTATCATAACACCATTTCTTATTCTACCTTTTGCTTTGCCTCACACCGTCATTACTTCTGCTAAATTCTTGCAATGCCTTTTAAAGTGCAACAGTCTCAGAAGAGAAGTATATTCATTAAGTGTGCATAGACACACACACACACATATATACACACACACATATACTGCTTTTTAAATCTATCATAGGTCTTAAGCACGGAGAGTGGAGAAGGAAGGAACTATATGGCCACAAGTAGCCCTCGAGATGATGTTATTTTTATTTCTAGAAAACCTTTTTCTTTGACACTGAAGTGCACTGCGAAATTATCGCAGATTTTATGTATATTGCATACTTGCTGCATGTCTGACAGCAGCTAAGGGCTACATTTGGATCTCACTACCATATCACCAATTGTCATGCTGCAAGTCTCAAAAAATATTTGGTGTTCTTCCTCAAACCCTAGGCTCATGGAAACAAAGTACATGAAAACATCATTTAAAACAAAAATAAGTTTCTAGTCCTTATGGTTGCAGAGAAAAGTTTCAAAACCTGGTTAGAATCTACTAGAAAGCCTCCAAGAAAGAAGCAGAAAAAGCTGATTCACTCAGAAGCAAGCATTAAAAACTTCCGTTTAAATCTACCTTGTTACTTTTATTATGCCCTGCTTTCTTTCAAGTGACTAGATGTGTCGACTACTAAATTCAGTGGAACAGAAGTAGTCATTAAAAAGATTAATTTTGATATCAACTTGCAAATTTTTATTTACTAGATTTTTATAGAGAATTTTCCATTTGGCAGACTTGATTCCTCCCAAGCACGCAGAAACACGCAACACCAAAGGTGTCTGAGGTATTCTTACTGAACAAACCAGAAACCAGGAGAAGGAAAGAACCTGAAAAATATCAGGCATTATCATTCAGACATTTAAAATTTAGGTGGAAAATGAATTAGAACATAGGCACTGTTACTATTCTACAGATTCACATCTCATTTCTGACTGAGCAAGCACCAATACCATGGCCCTGCTCTGCTTATGGAAATCTGGCATTGCAAGAGATACAGCAAAAGGTGCCATGTGCTTCAGCCAGCAAAGCAGCACTGGTCTGAACTAAATAGAGTTTTTCAGAGTTTCATTGCTGGGTCAGCTTTCTCAACTCCTCAGCTTAATCGAGACAAAACACCCAATTCCATTTTGAATGACAAGACCCTTGGTAATATCTCTGCTAATGGGGATGTATTGTGAAAGTAGCATAATGAATTGGACAATTTTGAAGTCAGTCTAAGCACAAAGGCCAATAATCAGCATTTCCAACTTCTGACTAAGAAATTTACGTAGTCATTGAGCTGACATTCAAGCTTTCATGACTGAATTAGAATCAAACATTTACAATGAGGTTGTTTTTACAGGAAAATAAATTTTTATCTTGTATGTAAATCTGTTTACTTTTAACATGGAAAAGACCATAAAACAATTCGTTAGACTACGATATTAGATTTTTCATCATTAGTTTAAATTATGCCCCACCCCCCCAGAAAGTGTCTTACAGTAACAAGTCATCAAAAAGTATAGTAACAGCTTAACAAGCCTAGTAAAAAGAATGCGTAAGTGGTGAAAGAAAAAAGTGCTAATGTACTAGTTTCTTGAACAAATAAGCTGCTTGTCAAGATTATGTAAACATATTTTAGCCATTATTACATCATCTACTTCGGATTTTCATCAGAAACAGGATCATTAAGCGCCTGTCTTGACAACACATCTATGCCAGCACAACTTTAAACAAAACTTAGATGCTATTTTATTACAATATCAAAATAAATGGAAAAATCACTAGGTCACAAGCTAAGCTGAACTAGTGATGTATATTAATGCATCCAAAATTTTAGATTCAGATTAATCATTATATTCACAAG